TTTGTGATTAAAAATAATAATTGATTCTTAGTTTGTCATTGATATCTTTTATATTTGTAATTAATTCAAAATGTTAGTCACTAATTCTAATTTTTAAAATTGAAATAAATAATTTAAACATAAAATCTACATTCAGTCATAAAAAATTCATCATAATAAATTACATAAATTTGTGACAGTTAAAACTATTCTAATAAAATAGCTATATATTAGTTATTGATTAAATGTTGGTTACAAATGATTAATTTTTATCATAGATATCACATTTTTGCTTGTGATAACATTTATCATTCATAACAATTATATTTTGTGACAATATATATAATTTATCATAAAAAATACAAAAAAATAACAAAATTTTCTATCACAATTAATCCATAATTAAATTTAAGAAATAAATAAAAATAATTAAATTCGTGACTATTATTATAGTCACAATCTAGTGAATTTTTTTTATTTATAATATATGGGTTTTTGACTAGATTAATTCAAAAAATTGTGCTCCACCTACAAATTAAGATCATGGCAAATCAAAGCTTCTAACTCCCTCAAATGCCTTGATTACTATTTATTCATGAAATATTAAGTCATTTTTAACACCAAATCTAAAAATTTTACACATTTTTTATGGATCTTTTTTAAACAATAAATTTTATTATTAGAGTATTAGGAAGGAATACCATCCTTGCACCATATACAAGGACACCATTCCTCCGCAGCATACTTACATAAGCAACTTTATGAGTAAAGTTACATTTTATATTTATTTTTTAATATTTATTTTACTTTTGCTTTGCTGTAACTTAGAATTGATGTCCGCACTTAATTTGATGAGTTCTTTGTTTATTTTTTTTTTAAATGGATCTTTTATTCTTCTATTGTTACATTTGTGAAATTGTAGAATAAAAAAAAACTTATATCACCGAAAAAAAAAATTTCTTTTTATATACCGTTCTTATTAAATTTTTTTACTTAAATAAAAAATTTTAATTAATATTTATTTAATATATAAAATTATCAGATCAAATTTTATATAAAAATCAAACTCAAACAATTAAATACAACCGAAGAGAGTATAAAAGATAGATGTTTGTTAATTAGATCTCTAAAAAATTTAAAAAATAAATATCTCAAATTTATATTATTTTATTAAAATACCACAGAAAAATACTTCGTCATTTTTAAAACACCTTGAAACACGTTTATATTTCATTAAACTGCATCTTTTCCAATTAGAGTTTGTTAAAAAAAAATGTAATTTTAAGATTTTTTAAAAAAACTTTTTAGAGACCTAATTGATAAATACTTTTCTCTTCTTATAGTTATTATACTTATTTTTTTATATAATATTTGAAAATGTTCAAAATTTCATTTTTGGGATTGATATATATATATATATATATTTAATCTTGATAAAAATTTTAATGACTTAAAAATTTTGTTACAAATAAATTTGTGGTATTCTTTTCTATCATATTAAGACATTATTGCATTCAATTATTTCAACACAAATAATTTTAATTGTAACATATAAAATTGTTGTAAATAAGATAATAATTGTATTTATTTTTTTGTTACTAAAAATATGTTTTTCATGACAATTGAAAAAGTAATTACTATTAATTTTAATAATTCAATATTTAATATTTATGATAGATAGTAACAAAACAAATTTTAAGCATTAATTTAAATTGTGATAAAAAAAACATAATTTTTTTTTTAACCGTTTTTATCTATCATCACAAAAGGTTTAATTTTCTTCTAGTGATAGAATTAGCAACGTTATCATCAGGGATCTCACATAAAATGTTAACCACAAGTGTTGCTATCAAGTATCAAGCATCTTTCAGGACTGCCACTGAGTTGTGACCACTGTTCCAATTTGCAACTTAGCAGGAACTGGGGGACGATGTGTGGGTTGAAGAGGAACAGTCCGTACTTCACGCACATGGTTTAAATGTTTAATTGGCTGGCATAGAATGAAAGAATCTTCAAATTCAGACAGTGTCAATCGACTTGAATTAATCCACTTGATTTAAAGCACTAAACGACAACGTATTTTTAACTGCTTTACTAAATAATTGAATTATTTATGGTCCCGCTTTCTTATTCTTTTCCCGATGAGCATGAAAACAAGTGAAACAAGACGGCACTAACCAATGATAGGAAAAACAAGGGTTTCCTCAAAAAAAAGAAAAAAACAAGGTAAAAAAAACAGAGAGAGAGAGAGAGAGTAACTCCAAATGTTGAGAGTCTTTTTTTTTTTTTCAAAAAGCTACGACCCTAAATTCTAATCCTAATTCTGGACACTAGCAGAGAAAGAGAGTGGGCACAGGAAGAAATAGAGTTTTTTTTTAAGTAAGAAATTAATTTGAAATAAATTTAAAATAAAAAGATAAATTTTTTTTAAATATAAAATTAATTTAAAATAAAAAGTAATTATTTTTTTAAAAATATTATAATTATAATATTATAAATTTATAATATAACTTATTATTATATAATTAATTTTTTATTTAAAAATTTACTTATAATATTATATTATATGTATTTATTTAATAATATATCATATTTATTTAATTACATGTTATATTATAAATTTATAATTTTATATTATTTATAAGTATAATATTATTAATAAAAAGTACAAACCAACCTAGTATTTGAATTTAACAATTCATCCTCAAGTCCTAACGTTTGGATTAAATTGAATGAAAATTTGATTTTTATCAAACTATTTAAAAAAATTCCTCTTCTCCCATATTTCTCTATGTTCAAAATAAATAAATAAGTACAAACATACAATGGATTAAAATATATATTGACCTTTTCCTCGCCACATGGCCAGTTGTATAATAATTCAAGCCGAACTTGTGGTCTTATGATTTTACAAAGAGTAATGATAGAAAGGACGAAATAGGGGGACAACAAATGATGAGAAGATTCATACATGTGGTGCAATTATTAATTTGATCCTTACATCACTTGTCGTCCCTCAATTTTGTCCCTTCCGTCATTACTCTTTTACAAATTGAGAAATTGAGACCCGACATATATGTTGTTTAAAAAAAAATGATAACTAAAAGGCTTAAATTCAAATTTTTATATGTAATTTTAAATAATATTTTTCTATATTTTTTAATTTGTTTCAAATAAAATAAGAAAAAGAGTAGTATACTTTTTGACAATTTATAATTATAATATTATGTAAAATTATAAATTTAT